CATACCGTAAATCCCTATTCTTTTCGTCTTATTTTCTGTCACCTTTATTTTTCTCTACATTTACCACCACTGAGCAGGCCTGCTTGTTGTGGCATGTTTCCTAATTGCATGGTAATTTCTTATACAAGGAGAACTTGTTGGAAGAGCTCTCCACGAAAATGGAACAGATTAAAAAATGCTGCACTTATGAAATTAAGTTAATTAAATATGATTAACAAACATAATGACTCATCCAACCGCCAGGCTGGCTTGCCTAGGAACTCTAGGTCAGGGGATAAGGCACAAGCCTTCCCTGGGTGCCAGCAGATGAAAGAATTTGATTCCTGAGATGGATGCAATTGTATTAGCACACAGTCATTTTAGATTTTTAACCTTGGATGGTACCGAATCCCACTAACTGATTTCTTACCTTACATCACCTCCAAACAAGCTTTAAACACTCAGCTCTAAGATTTTCAGGGATTCGACAGCTAAAGGGCAGCCCATGTGATCCAGAGTCAAAAATCCAGAGCTCCATCCTCAGCTCTGACACTTGTGTGACAGTGAGCAAGTCATCTCACTCTTTAAGTCTCAGCTTCCTAACCTAGAGAATAAGGAGAAGAACTGCTCTGCCTACCTGACAAGATATTTATGAAGATCAAAAGAGATCTTGTCTATGAAATTATTTTGTTTTCTTATATATGTAAAGGACTAAACATGATTAGCATGACAATAATTAATAATTACACCATTAGAGGGGCTAACATTTTTTTAATCCTATTTTTCCTTTTCTGTTAATATTTGTTGAGTTAATACATGCTACTGCAGTACTTGGTACTGAATGATCAATAAGTTATAGCTATTGACATTATTACTATTACAAGGGCATGTTTTTCAAAGGTCTTTATTTATCTCTTGTAAAAAAGTGATCTCCTGAGGATTAAGATAAAGCAATTATGGAAGTAAGAATGATCTGCCCAATTGGTACAACTGCTCATTTCTCACCCCTACCTTATGTAAGTTGCAGACACTGTACAAATTATGGAGGTAAGTCTCCAAAAATTACCACAGGGACAGGGAAGAGTAGCAGAGATGAACTTGGACACATGAATCAAAGAAGAGTAGATTGAAAGTAGAGGACGGGTCTAGAGTATTCAAAAGCGTCTTTCCCCCCACAACCCTTTTTATTGCTTCTCCTGTTTACTGCTGATTTTCTGTGTAACCTTAAAATGAGTCATTTAAACACTTGGTCTTTCTCAGGATACCTTCCACCTGTCCAAGATGCATGAATTATATGTTTATCAGAATATATCAAAATATAGCTTATTATAAGTTTCCTCAAAAGACAAAAAATGCTAACAAACCCGGACAGAACCAGATTTTTTCTTTCTCTTTCTTTCTACGTAATCTCTCACACACATATTTTTTTTTGTTAAGGTAATATTGTGGGAAGACTCCATTTATTAGTAGTCATTAGATAAAAATTTTTAGACTTGCCCTAGCTGGTTTAGCTCAGTAGATAGAGTGTCAGCCTGTGGACTGAAGGGTCCTTGTTTGATTCTGGTCAAGGGCACATGCCCAGATTGTGGGCTCAATCCCCAGTAGGGGGTATGCAAGAGGCAGCCAATCAATGATTCTCTCTCATTATTGATGTTTCTCTCTCTCTCTCTGCCTTCCTCTCAGAAATCAATAAAAATATATTTATATAAAAATTTTAGACATAAAATGAAAAATAATTAACATTGAATAGATCACAAGAAATTTCTTAAGAAAGTTTTCTTCAAATTACTGATCATCACTTTCTTCTATCACTCCTCTCTCCTTTTATGTGAAAATATTTATTGGTCTGTGAGATACTGTGGAATAATATTTACACTTTTATATTAGGGAAGTCAGTACTCCATTTGCCTTGTTCTATTAATCCTTTGAAGAGAGAATGGCCTATTCACGGCATGTTTGAAATTAGTAATTAAAATCATATTGGGAAATTGCCTCTTCTAAAAAGTTAAATGTAGTTGTCTGTATTGTGTAATGATTTTAAAAAAGTAAAAATTCTCTGTTAATGGGATAAAGGATGATAAGTTATAGGTTAGGATATTAACATGAATTATAAATAAAACACATAGATACACACATAAACACAATATGTATTTACATATATATTTTCATGGTATAATGTAAAAAATTAAATATTTCAAGAAGAAAATCTATTTATTTGCCCAAAATAGGTCAATGAGAGATAAAGAATGATCCTATGAGAGAGAAGAGAGGAAATTAAACATAATAAGATTATATAGGGCAATTTTAAGGGTGGCTTATTTTTCAATATTTTTATATAATATCTTTCTGTGAACTTTTCTTGTTGACAAATAGTATTCAAAATGTCTCATGTTTTGGGTTCACACAAATTGGGGGAGAAATATGGATTTTATAAAAACATTTCAATTTCTACATATTATTAGATTTGGGCTGTGAATATAGAAGAGCACTGCCTACTTTACTTCCCACTTAAAATTTAAGGAAGAAGCTGGAAAGAGTAAAAGTAGTAAAATGTATATAATGAAATATCAATAAAAACAAAACTCCAAATTAACAAAATAACATTTTAAAAATAAAAAATGATATAGTTAATATTTTTTTACTAAAAATAATAAAAAGTAAGCTTTTAGGTTACAAATATAAGGTTAATTTAAATTAGAAGAAACAAAATTTATAATAGTTATTGGCTCTTAAGAATAATGGAAAAGGATACATACATAAACACAAGCATACACAGGAATATAGACTAGTGAGAACAGAAGAAAGCACCTTACATGAGAGTCCCAGATAAGTTATTTTTCATCCAATTAATGACAGTAGCAGAGACTATTACATTGAAAATAATTTATACTAAGTCTTATGGATTTAAGATATAGATTCTACAATTAGGAACTCTTTTTTAAATATATTTTATTGATTTTTTTATAGAGAGGAAGGGAGAGGGATAGAAAGCTAGAAACATTGATGAGAGAGAAACATCGATCAGTTGCTTCCTGCACACCACCACTGGGGATGTGCCCGCAACCAAGGTACATGCCCTCGACCGGAATGGAACCTGGGACACTTGAGTACAAAGGCTGAGGCTCTATCCACTGAGCCAAACCGGTTTTGGCTACAATTATGTACTCTTAATAACCACAGTTATTTATCATTGTATCATATCATTTAAGTGAGTAGTATATTTGTATCATGTTGACACAATCTAAGTTTAAACATAGTTTACCTTATTTTATTCTTCCTACTTTCTGGTATAAATACTCAACTGAAGCCAAAGCTGTATGACATTACCTGCATCAGGTACCATTTGTGCTAAGCAAAGAACATTAATGACTATCACAAGTCTTAAGGAGTATCAAGATCCTTATACTCACATCACTTGATTTCACTGTGAAAAGACTTAGTGTTTGGGCCTTTATCAACACATCTTATACTAAATATTAAAAGTGAACCAGGACAGTCACCTCACTGGCCTCAGCCTCCACCCATCAATGAGAGTTGGCTGTTGTAATCTCTGTTTTCCAGGAACACATAAAAAGTGTAACAAAAATTCATTTTCTATGCTTTTAAACGTATCAAGTTTAAATGCCTAGAAGAGGGTAAACCAAATGAAAAAGATTTTCAGAAAAAAAAAGACATTTTAAATTAGGTTGATAACCTAGATTTTCACACAGTTATTACTGCAATGCATTATTGGAAAATGTGATGTTATAATTCTGAACCATCAGCCACTGAGGACTGTGGACATATTTCAGAACAGGCATGGTGGGTCACATCCAAAAAACAAACAGACATGCTGGACACTATCCCAACAGACGGGATAACAAAAGTGAGGAAAATGAAATGTCAGAGAAAAGGAGAGGGTCAGATATTAAAAATGTAGTCTAACAAGGATCATGACTACAGTCAAATTCAACAAGGATGTGGATGTATTTCAAAATGCAATTTCTTAACAAATCCTGATTTAATCTAATGAATCATTGGCCCTAATCATTATGTTAAATAATCATTTAAAAGAAACTTACTCTTCTCAAAATATTAAAAAAATAATATCAAAAGTCCAAAATACATTTAAATGGTTTACCAGGCAAATTTTAATTTTATAAAACTTGTATATAATTTTAAACAACAGGTAGGAGCAAAAAAGCTTTTAAGACTCAGCACATTTTCATCCTATGACAAGTTTCTCAGCAAAAACCATGACTTTTCTCTAACCCAGGATCTCAAACATCTAATCTAGGATCTCAAACATCTGCTCCATGGGGGACTAGAATGGTCCCAGACTTCCCTGATCACAATTTGAAAGTATATATTAAACTGTGAGTTTATAAATGAGTGTTCCCTTTACCAGCCTATATACTCTATGAGGCCAAGGCCATATCTACTTTTTTCTCTGCTATGTATCTAGTTCAAATAGGCTATCAAAAACAGGTTTAAAATTGAATAACTGAAACATAGAACCCCCATACTATTCACCCCACTTCACCTCCTACACACATATAACTTTGGGGTGTCTCTGAAAACTAGAGTACAGGGAATTCCCATACCTGTTCCACTTCTCCGCTCCCTCTCCATCCCCAGTCCACTGTACTCTGGTGGTAATAAACATTATTTCTATTAGTACTCTTATTCCATTGCATTGTAATTCCCCCCAAAAGACATGAATTCGTGATCTGACAGTGCTAGCCTCAAGAAATGGGTTATGAAAATAACATATTCATTACTTCAGAATGTAAGGAAGAACTGGATGGCATAAAAGAGAAATTTTATGAAATCAAATAAAGCCAATAATCACAACAAACAAAATAAATCACCTCCTTCTAGTTACAAATGGATAGGAATAAAAAGTATAAAGTTAAGTATCTTCCAAAAGGAAAATCCTATACATTTAATAACAACAAATCACCAAGAGTCCTATTCTTTTTTTCCATATAAAATAATACCTTTATAGTATGTTCAGTGAAAATCCAGAAAGAAATACGTACATGACGGTGTTAATGCCTGAGAGCTGTTGGAACATCTGCAGGCCACAGCCCACAATCAAAGCGCGGCGAGTGGGCGGGTAACTCAGCATTCTGCAGATCACGGGTCCAGCTTTTTAAGAAAAGAAAGAAAGAAAGAAAAGGAAAGACAAATCTATTATTTTCAGTTCCCATGGTAATTTACCCCATTAGAATACATTTCCCCAAATTTCTGTGACAACATGTCTTGGAATTTCAAAATAGAACATATAGACTTTTGCAGAAATCTGGGCACAATGTACTTTTCAAACAGACATATTAATATATCTATGTGAATACAAGGAAGACCTACATAACTCTAAGTGTCAGAAATTAGTCTTCCTTCAATCTCTACAAGTTTATTCACTATGCTTTGTTCTTCTACTTCCTTGGCAATTAATTCGTACTTAAAATCCACTCAATGATAAACTACTTACAAAGTCATTGACAAATTGCTTTAATCACCAAAAAAGGCATCATTAAAAACAAACAAGGAACAGAATGCATTTGACTGAAGTAACAAAATTCTTTCTAATCTACTCAACTAAAGTCAAGAAATTTGGGGATGATATCAGACTTTGTTATGGTTACAATGGATATCATTAATAAAAGTTACCAAAAATAATAAAAGAAAGAAAATCAATGTCTCTTTTATATAGGTGTGTGTTTACACTCACACACACACACACACACACACACACACACACACACACACACACAGGTTTTCAATATGGTGCAGTTGACTTGCCCTCTCTATCGGAACTCTAGATCAATTCTGGAAAGCTGTAGATATGAACCACTGAGGCCTTAATAAGGTGACTAACCTAATTGATGTATACCATTTGGGCATAATTACTAAAAGTGTCACTTCTATTCTCATAAGTGCTTCAATTACACCTTCAAGAGGTATTCTATATACTGTCCTCATGAGGCCAACATGGACTCTAAGTATCTACGGTATTTCTGCTGTTAGAAGACATGGCCTGAAATCTTTGGGATGTTAATTGCTTAATTAGAGGCTCCACCACCCCACCACCCCCAGAGGCCAAGTTTCATTAATGAACTCTAAACCAAGATAAGTAAATTAAAATCCAAGGAAGTCTTACCATTTCAGGATTCTTTAGGAAATCTAATGTTCCAATTCACAGAAATGGGACAGAATGTGCTGATGTCTTCTTAGTAATAACAGTTATTGTGGGATGTCAAGCTAGGGCATTAATTAGAACTGAGTATTATAGGAGTGACAATATTCTTCTCTACATAGGTGAAATTTACTAATCACATGAAAACCTTATTTCCTGAAAATGATTGTGTGTCTAAGTGCTAAGACAGGAGGCCGATAGAGAAGCTATGATAGTCACTCAAAGCTCACTGTGGTGACAGCCCATTTAGAAAGCAGGCTGAGAGAATTCTAAATGTCAAACCGCTTTAGAGTCAAGTGAGGCAGTGTTAAAACCCAGAAATGTTGTGTGAACTAGGTTTTCAATATGGTGCAGGTGACTTGGCCTCTCTATCGGAACTCTAGATCAATTCTGGAAATTTTATTGTAACCGTATTAAACTATTATGTAGATCAGCTGATGGAGCAGGCCTGTCTGCAAATTTAGATATCTGTAAAGGAGCCACAGAATAAAAAAAACCTTATCATAAATATCCTCCAATATCCATCAATAAAAAACTTCAAATAAGAAAGATTACCATTCCCCTGTACCATGGAAAACTTATAAAACAGCAGCAATGGACAACAGAACCAAGGCAAGCAAAACCCCTTTTCAGGTGTAGAGGCTTCCACACATGGGAAATGGGCTTTCTTTAATAAAATGTAATCTTTGGATAGCTGCATCTGCTTTCACTATTAAACTGTTCCATGATTTGATGGACTAGGTAATACTGATTTTGGAGGGCAAAATATTATGATAATATTATGGAAAATTAGGCTTAAATTCTGACTTGTCAAAATATCAAGAGATAAACTAATATTGCATAAACGTCACATTTATTTTCTAGTTTTTGATAATTTGGCTTTGAACTTTATCTTGCTTTGAATTTCTTATTGAAATGAACAATGGTAATTCTTTATTAGATTTTTTTTTAAGGATGAATTTGGTCATAGCAGCTCCACATTTGATTGTACATAAAATTTAAAAATGTCCTTTCAGTAAAATTATAAACCTAGATTTATTAGACAATAAAACTCAACAAATGCAAACTATCATTAACCTTTATATCACAGAAGCTATGAAGCAGGGGAAAAAATCAAATGTATTAATTGGTCCAATGTTCATAAGAGAAAATTTAAAATGTCACACTCTACTTACTACCTTTCTTAAAAATTTTAAATTAAAAACACTTTGTGTATACAAATACTTCATACTTGTTTGGAAATTCAAGACTCAGAATATCCTATATAATAGAAAGCAAATATGCAAATAGACCAAATGGTGGAACAACCAAACAACCATTTGCTATGACGTGTGATGACCACCAGGAGACACATGAGGTATTGGCAGCAGGTGGCAGAATATGAAACATGGCGGGCATTGGCCGTGGCAGAATGGTAGGACAGGTGAGTAGGGGATGCCAGACCAAGGTGGGGCACCGTTTGCTGTCATCAGGGTGAGCCTCTGGTGATTACTGAAAATTCTTTGCTCCCATGCGCCATGGTCTTGGAGCCATCAGCAGGTGGAAGCAGAGGCTGCCAGCCCCAATCATCCCTCAGGGCTTCTCCACCTCCCCCTGCTCCTGAGGGGTCATCAAGGCTGGCAGCAGCTGCTCACACCTGCTGATGGAGCTGGACATGCTTGCACCCGCTGCTGGTGCTGGCCCAAATAGCTCCATGCTGTCAGCAGGTGTGGGGCCGGTGCCATTAGCACGTGGGAGCAGTGGCAGTGGTAGCCGGGCTGCTGGCAGTCAGGGAACCGGTGGCTGCTGTGGCAGGGTCCTGGCAAGGGCACAGAGGGTGGGGCCGGGCAAGGGCACTGTGCCCACTGCAGCCTTGAGGCCCACAGTTGCTTTCAAGGTGCACAAATTCATGCACTGGGCCCCTAGTAACATAATAAAACAATAGATGTGAAAACCCAAAATGGAACCGTCTGTTTCTTCATTCTGAACACCTCTCACTAAGTAACTTTCACAATGGTTGTCCAGCTGTGGCAGGGGCTCTGGTGGCATAGATGACAAGGACAGTCCCACAAAGGCAGCTGTCAGCAGTCTCTGAAGGACTGAGCCTACAGAAGCCTCTCCAGGTGTGATTTAAAATGCGCCATGACATATTTTGCAGATTACCCTAGTTTTTGATTTCCACTTCCAGCCAAAATGGAATAATAGTCACCAGTTACCTCCAGCATGAAACAACTAAAACACCATGCAAGAAATGAATGAAACTATATTTCTCATTATAAAGGAACAAAGGATAGTGATTCCTAAGATTCGGGAAACAAGTGAGATGAAACTTACAACCATCCCAGCTTAATGCCTTGAAAAAATGTCCAGGCTGCAACATAGGGCTGGGAATCAGGTAGATCTTGGTTATTTCCATGAGCTGAAAAGATGCAGCTCAGAATCCAGGAATGCCACAGTGGCTCCAGTTCACATGGAACAGTGCCAAAGAGAAAGATTCGTAGGAGAGGACCTTGGCGATCTACAGCCCCCCAAGTATTCAGTTGAGTACTGAGGAGTGGATATATGTGAGGAAACGTGTTTTAAGCTACCAAAGCAGGGGAAGAGCCAAAGAAAAGGATTAAAGAAACCAGTCTCAGGAATTCTCACAGGTCTGGGAACAGGACCTGTTCCTTCCAACCTAGACTATAAGAAAGAATATTCAAGAGGGTTTTACCTCGGTGATACTATACATTTAGTCTTAAACACTGTGTGGATACTATCAAAAACAGCTTAAAAGCAAGACCCAACTGTTTTCAAATAACATAGAATAGCATCCCAGAATAAAGTTAGCAGTAAGATAAAAATTTACAGTATCTGGAATATAATAAAAAATCACCAGGCATCCCAAAAGACAGATAAGTACAATCTGTAACAATAAGAGGTTTAATTTCTCAAGAGGCCATAACAACACTAAGTGTCTATGCACCTAATCAGAACTTCAAAATGTATGAAACAAAATGTATGACAAATGCAAGGGGAAATATAAAAACCCACAATTATACTCAGATATTCATTCCATCACCCCCTTCTCAATAACTGACGGAAAAAGTAGGCTGAAAATCAGCAAAGATACGGAAGACCTCAACAACACTCTAAACAAACTTGACCTAACTGATATTTAAACAACATTCTACTGAGGAAGAAAAGAATTCAAATTCTTTCCAATGGTAAATGTCTTGAAACATTTACCAAGACAGATTATATTTTGAGGTCTAAAACCAGTCTCAATAAATTTAAAAGGATTCAAGTCACCAAACCGGTTTGGCTCAGTAGATAAAGCATCAGCCTGAAGACTGAAGAATCCCAAGTTCGATTCAGGTCCAGGGCACGTGCCTCGCTTGTGGGCTCAGTCCCGAGTAGGGGGCGTGCAAAGGGCAACCAATCAATGATTCTCTCTCATCATTAATGTTTCTACCTCTCTCTCCCTCTTTCTTCCTCTCTAAAATAAATAAAAATATATTAAAAAAAAAAGATTCAAGTCATACAAAGAAATGTCCTCTGACCATACTAAAATTAATATAGAAATCAATAACTGAAAGACAACTGAAATATTCTTCCCAAATTTGAAAATAAATAATACCTTTCCATGGATCAATAAAGTAATGGAAATCAGAAAGTACTGTGAACTGAAAGAATATAAAAATGATGCATATGAAAATTTGCAAAATGAAGCTAAAGTAGAACAGAGGAAATTTAATAGCAATGGCTTTGGGTCCCACCTTACAAAACCAGAAAAAGAGGGACAGACGAAACAAAAAAATAAGGATTAGATAAAAAGAATAATAAAGACAAGAGTGGAAATCATTGAAGCAGGTGTGGAAATCATTGAAGACAATGGGGAAAACAGAAATGACACCAAAAGCTGGTTCTTTGACATCAATAAAATGGGTAAACTTTGAGCCAAACTGTGGATGTTTGAATAGCAGCACATCTT